ATAAACAAGATCAACAAGGAAAGGCGGCTTCAATGAACGCAATCCCACATGACCCAGCAACAAGAACAAGTGGCAAGAAGCCCAGGCGGACCGGAAACAAAACACAGGACAGGGCACTAGGCAGAGCACGGACAGGCTAATCACTAAAATGATAAATAATTTGTAACTGATAAGAACACGATGTTAAATAATAAGGTAATGCATAAGTTATCTTCATCATAAATGGTAAAATCAGCAATTTTCAAGTGATGTTGCTAGTGACAAAACTTTTGTAACAAATGTAACATATATATGTTACGAAAAATGCCGTATGTTGTCCTTCAGTTTTATTTAAAAATATGGGAGAGGCGCCGTTTTATACCTGTCCGCAATAGAAGTTCGTAAATACTCCGAGAGGGGCAGGGCGTTATGCTTGACTTAAAATCGTTTAACTTTGTGAATCTACTTTTGTCATTTTAAACATGTTACTGTGTTAACGTACTCTTGTAGTTCTACAACTGGTAACACGTTTTCTTAAACTATATTTTCCGTATTTGAGTTTTACGTTTCATTTGTATATTTCAGATCTATAAGTGTGCAAACATGCATATGTATTGCATGCAATGGAAGATACGAACTTGTAAATTTGTTGTCGTTTTAGATGTGAGGTCAGTTGTTACGATATATATGTAAACTTGTTATATAAAGGCGGTAACCTTCAATTAAAAGATTGAATTAAGAGGTATACAATAAAAATGGTAGGCATATAAGTTCGCATTTTCAAAAGTCATTTTGAAAAGGAACACTTTTTTCTACCTGCATATTGGTTTGATTTCCTTTGCATAGGGGCTTTAACACATAACAGAACATTATTTCAAAAAAAACTTATATTACATCAGCAGAAATAAACTCATATAAATGTACATAATATATTTACACATACATACTACAATGTTTATGAACCATGCATGTTTAATAGCTAACACACATACAAACCTAAATAATAATGTTTACATGTTTGCTTTAAAGGAATGAAAATAAAAAAGTTTGAACAAAAATACCTAAGTCATGTTACTAAATAGGGAAAAGACAATACCCAGCAAACACAAGACGTCATACTGACGTCAGATTCAAGTCAGGTTCTGACGTCGGATGAAAACGGTCGGATTTGAAAGTTTTTTTGACGTAATAATCTGACGTCAGATAGACGTCAGGATCTAACCATTATCTAACTTTTTCTGACCAAAATCTAACCATTTTCCGACCAAAATCTGACCGTTATCTAACCAGTTTCTGACCATTTTCCGACCTCAATCTGACCATTTTCCGACCTAAATCTAACCAGTTTCTGATCAAAAACATCATAAGTTAACAAGAATATGAAAACTAAGCATTCTCTTTGGTTATACTGAAAGGCACATTATAAACTCTTCACGAGCAGAGTTAAAACATGCCAAATTTGAAATGATTTATTATCAAACATTATCGCGAATTTGTGTGACATTTTGCTTCAACTGTTCAAATAATGATAATTAAATCTAAGAATGCATGCAATTATTTTTCAAATACAAAGTAGAAATAAATTTACATAAATTGAACTGACCTTTTTGTTCAAGAAAATCTGGAATATTCACTTTATCAATGCATCCCGATTCCTGACATACGAAACGCCTACGAATTTGAATTTTCCATCCACGTGGCTGTAGATTCGAATTATAATTATGTTTTCTTTCCTTTTCCTGTCACTATGATTAAATATTAAAGAACTATTAAAAACTCGTGATTTTGATACATATAATGTACCACAAATGATAATACTGTAACGTTAAATGATTGGAACTCGTTAACAGATCTGTGGCTATAAATAGATTCCATAACAATAACACATGTAATTAACCTATATACAGCGCCACCTTTATGTTTTATGAGGTTGCAGCGCCGCGCACGTGGTCTTCGAAAGGCACTTGTATATATATATATATATACACTTAATTTGTAAGCCAAATAACATTTAAAAAAAAGTTTAAATGATTACAACAGCGAATAAGGATTACCTTTCGTTAATTTTTTACCTACTGTCAGGAAACCGACCAGAACCTGACGTTAGTACGACGTCAAAAAGAAACGTCTAATAGACATCGGCTTTTGGACGTCAGATTTACGTCGTATTTTGGTCGCCGACGTCGTGACCAAAATCTAACGGTAATCCTAAGTTATTCTAACGTCATGTGTTTGCTGGGTAATACCGATATAGCACCGATGTTATTTTTTGTATTAAAACGACTTAATTACTCTTTTCCAAAAGCATCGATTTCTTGCTCAAATACATTTGAGAAGAAAATATAGAAAACTTCAATTAATGGAATAACAGGAAATTAATGTGTATCAGAATTCAATCGGACCAATATCATTGCTCTTTAACAAGTTTGTCTGTATCGTATTGATATCGGACCGACAGCGATATTCTGACATTTAGCCGAAATCGGTCCGATATAGGTAAAAGTATGTTTGTTTGGTTGTGTTAAGAAACATTTATTAATGTAAATGACCAATTGAACTGATGTTTTTGTTCGTCAAACGTAAACAATGTTACAGTACAGAGCGAGGTGAATTTCACAAAGTTACGGTATATAATCAAAGGGCTGCAAGCTCTGTGGTATTTTTTGATCTTTGCAATCTAAATCATACCGACTATCTGTATGTATTTTTCTATATAAGTTTATTTTCATATACTATAATTCATCTTACGCAGCGACTGCGTTAAGATTTTTTTCTATAACAGTTTGAGATTGATACATATGGAATTTTGCATGACTAGAGTTGCATCAAAAATAATTTTTTATGACAGCCACACTTTATCCTTGCATATCGTGGCTACTTCCTTAAAAAAGACACATCAAAAAAAAGTTGCCTCGACTAGGATTTGAACCTTAGGCCTCTCACACCCTAAACGAGCGCGATACGAGCGCGATACCCCTGCACCACGGTGAAGTAATACGTAATATGTAGCCTGAATAAAAACAAATACATTGTAATTCTAAATTGAGAATTTCCATTTCGTGTCTGTGATCCTTATCAATTTCGAGGTATTTTGTTCACGATAAACAGTCCGACATGTATTTATTCCACTACTCGGCAGTCAGATTTATTTGTGTACTACGCCCTGGAGTATTCTGTAATCGACATAGCTAAAAATAGCATTTTCATTGATTAAAATGATATTCATCCGCGAAATTTGTGATTGTTACCTCATATTTCTATTGACTAATCTGAACTTTCAATGCACTGTAAATCGTTAAATGCCTACATTAAAATTATTTACTACTTTGCGTTGTTAGGTCTGTTAGGAAATTTTGTGTTAGACCGTGGATGTTAGCTATGTATTTACTGATCTTGCGATCAGAAAACGGCTTTGATCGTTTATACCCAAATTTCGGTTACATTTACTACACATCTGTCATGTGCAACGCCCAGATATCTACATCATCCAAGATCGAAGTCAGACATAGAGGTAACAGTAAACATGGTCTCTCAGAATCTCACTTTGTATATTTTGTGTCCAGTCCATAACTGTTTCATAGATCAAGGGCTTTTGAAATTACTTGGTACAAATGTTCACAAAAAGTTCTTTGTAAGCTAGTTTACTGAAGGTCCGTGGTTCTAGACATTTGCCCAGTCGTGTCTGAAATGTCACAAAGGGATGTCTTGTGTCTTCCTTCGCCAGTAAAGCTTGAAAGTTGTCAACTAACCTTCATGTCAGTGAATTTAAAAAAAATAAAACAAAAATTACAAACACAGGTTTTGTCAAAATAAGTTTTGTATTAATATATTTCAAAAACATTTATTTGTGTTTTTAAATGAATCGCCTGTAGTTAATAAAAAAATCCTCAAAACTAGACAATTCAACCATTTTTTAAATACTTACAAAATACATTAAGTACATTACAATTGTAGTTGGAAGTTTCAACTAGAAATAAGCTTTATTATATGTAATAGCACCAACAAATAACCATTAATTATTTTGCAAAAAGTCTCAATCTGACCTTAAAGTAAGGAAAATAGCAAACTATAACTTTTTTGCTGAAGAAAAATATAACACTTTAAAGAATATATTAAATAGAAAATTCGGGAGTATTTATAATAAAAATAATGGATACACGAACTGTATTTGACATTTGGCAAGTATGTCAACCGAAATCTGGGTATAAATGTTACAAAATCGGACCAACGTTGCTTGGTCTAAACTGTAACCTTGCACATTTCACATCGCTCTATACTGTACACTGTTTATTTTTCCTAACGCGTTTGACAAACAGGAAAATAGATTAAATTGGTATTTACCTTGAATAAAAGTTTCTAGACACAAAGGACTAAAGCTTTGTAGTTTTACTTTTTATATGCATGCTAAATTAATGTCTGAATGGGCGAAAAATGCGTTGGTCGCTCTAATCAAAGTTTCAAAAGGTCAAATTAAATCTGCACATTTATGAGCCAATGTAAAGATGACACTATGGTGCATGGTCTAATGAAATATATGACTAGACACGGGATCTAATTTATTTCAAGCGAACCACAAAAACATCTATAAGAATCTAAACTACTTTCAGTCTCGACCAGACCAAATGTCACGATAATGAAGCACATTCCCAACAGTGAAATTATAAATACATATTACACCCAAAACTTTTCATTAAAAAGCCTCAGCCTTTTAGAGAATAAAATATGTTGATGCCTTAAGTGACAACAACAACAATTTTTTTTTTGTAACGCAAAATACTTTTCAGGGAGCAAAGTTCATCTTAAGATAAAAGGCATTAAACAACTTCTCCTTTAAACTTATTTATTTGAAAATACCTTTTAATTAAACTACCTTTTAATTAAACTTTTTATAATGTTACAGCATATGGTCATATTGGGTATTCGATCATAATAAATATAGTTAACAGATTGAAAGTTACAAAATATGCCGAAGTTCTACTGACTTTTAAGTACAACTAATCTTCTATCTTAATATGTTGCAGGAAATGGCTGAAAGTGCATGTGAAGACGACCTAAAATTATCGCTTTTAGTTGAAGGTGTAGTCATAAAGGCTCAGACCGAAATAACAAATGAGAAGTCAGAAATAATTCGTGATGTCATAAGGTTCCATATCAACACCTGGCTCGATCAGGTAGAACAAATTAACCCTCTTTATAAAGTATCAGAATTAATTCCAGTTGGAAGTTACGCCGAGGGAACTAAAATAATACATGCAGACGAATTTGACTATTTGGCTGTCATTGAAGAATTGTCAAAACCAGATGTGATAGAAATAGATACAAGTAAAAGCGACATTAATAAAGGCTTGGTAAAAGTCGTAATAGCAAACGAAGAATTAAAGTTAAAATGGGGCGGACTTTGTAAAGACGGTCATCTGACATGTTTTCAACCCATTAACTTTCCAGGAATTGATGAAAAAAGATTTGGACATGTTGTTATCGACACGGTATTTAAGTTTATCAGAAACTTGAAACGAAAATCTTTTTTACAAAGAATCCAACTGCCATAGAAGATTGCATAACTGTCTTACCAGCCGTGAATGGTGTGACTTTATTTTTTACAGGCGCTGATTTTAGAGCACCTAATGTTATTCTAAACTTTGAATACGAGAACAGGAAGGTATCGGTTGATGTTTCACCAGCAATAAGATATCATAAATTCCACGACTGTTTCCAAGCTGAGGACTGCGCTGGTCCAGGGTTTGCTGAACTTGTTCTTCGACAAAAATCTCTATTGCTTGTTGGAACTTCAAGAAAATCTGATTTTAAAGTGACTGTAACGGAAGCAGAGGTTGAATACATATTGACTGTCATGAAACCCAAGCACAATATCATCTATATATTTCTTAAGTATATTGTAAAATTATACGAGGATGTTCTTCTGGACACATTTACCTCATATATGATGAAAACTGTTTGTATCCACCATGACATTAAATGTGAAAATGACGATAGATCTGTACAAGATTGTTTACGATCAGTCATAAATGATCTAAATGTTTGCAGGCAGCAATATTTTGTTATAAGTATAGTAAATAAACATATTCACCTTGTTAGACACATTGATGAAGAAGAAAAAGACAGAGAGTGCTTACTTCAAGGCATGACTGCAATGTGTCAGCTACCTGCAGAAATTGAAACCGTTGAAGGCTTTGATACTTTTTTGAAGCAGATTGTTGACAGCGAGCGTCAGAAAAGATATAGAGGTGAGTATTTATGTCAATGTCACATTAATTTTAAGGATGGTTTATTTGTTAACCTAGTACAAATTGCCAAACCCTGTAAATTTCTGGTCTTTTCCTATTTTTTTCTTCTTTTTAAAAAGCATTGATTTGACCAGATCTTAAGCTGTTCATATTGATCTAAGTATATGCATATTTCATCTTTCTTACTATTACTATGCCATGAAAAAGTAGTAAATAATAAATGAGCTCTGAAATGCATTATACCGGTATATTTCTATTCTGATACGACCCGCATTCCCCATTAAACACAGAAGGAAAGAAAGTGTGTTTAAAGTACGGGGTCTTTTTTCATAATTAGAATGGGAAATATAATAAGGTTTCTAGGGTTGTACATGACATAGTTCAATGATGTATGGTTTAAATTTTTTGAAACTAATTACTTGAAATATTCGATAAAAGTAATGGGTATTCAACACGATCCTATGTATAGAATTTTAAGAGAGCAATGTAATTTTTTTCAGAATGCAAATTTTGATCAAATCAAATTAAAACGTAACTTTATAGTTATATCCTCGACTAGAATCGCGACGCTAAGAATTTTCCGGCGAAAAAAAACCCCCAAAAAATCAACAAGTAGAAAATATACGTTACTTATTTTTTTAAAAAAATATTTCTTCATAATCCTAACGATTATTACACAACTTGATTTTCTTCAACAAGTATCAATGTCACAATTCGTTTACATTTATAAAAAGGAGGCGGTCATTTTAATTCGCTTCCTGCCATTCACATCCCATAGTTCTTTGCAAAAAGTATAATAAGGGCACACCTAAAGTCGATTACATGTAGCTTGGTTTTGATGACTGTTTAGTCCAAAGTGATCATTTTATTAAACAAGAGCTGTCGGTTGGACAGCAACGCTCGACTATTATTAATGCTTGATAGTTAAAGAGCCTTGATAATGTCAAATTTTCTGAGTTAACAAAAAGACAAAATTTTTCTTTAAATCTATGTTACAGTCATAGGCCTTTGAGAGAGTCCTATTATGCTCTCAAAGAAGAGTATAAAATTTCAGCTTGTTTCAAAGCCGGATGTCAATAGAAATTGCTAAGGTGGTATGCGAACTTAAATGTAAATTCTAAGTTGAAATGTTATTCTGGCAACTGCTCCATAGAGTTACCTCCTCCTGTCTACAGGTTTGGGTCATGATGGTGAACAAATGTGCAAAGTTTCAAAGTCATATGTAAATGGAATATTTGAGGTATTATAAAAACTTTAACATAAGTGGTTACGCCGGCGCCGACTCGGACGCTCGGGTAACTTCAATAGCTCTTCTTATTCTTATCGAATAGTCGACCTAAAAACTGTTTTAAAACATTTAACAGAACAACAGTATAACTTTTGTACAAAGTGATTCATTTTTGACCGTTTTTATAGTTCTGCTCTTCTTGTTCGATGAATGAATACGAACGTGTCAGATTCCTGGCACGATTATTGGTGGACTTTCCCTATGGGGTTGTCTTCAGCGTTCACGTCATGTCATAGTATATAAACGGGTACGCTGAAGACCTTAAGCTATTAACCACTAAGAGTGTCAGGTGCATGAACAAGGTCTCTAGATTTAAGGTTAAGGTCACACTAAAAGGTCATTCAAATGCTTATTCGGAGCAAAACGTCTACATTCATCGGAGGATTTTAATGTAACTTGGCACAAATGTTCACCATTGTGAGCCTAAGTATTGCGCGCATTATCCAGGTCCCTGCCACCAAAGGTAAGGTCATATAGAGAGATCAAAAGTAAGATTTAACAAAAGATGTATACAGGGATCATTTAGTCATCATTGATTGATGGATTGTTACACAAATGATAAACTTGTAGGACTACAAATGTGACACGATCTAATTTTGATTACTATTTGCAAGGTCAAGGTCACTACAGATGAATAAATATCCAAATATTGTCGAGATATTGCCCAGAGCATATCTCGTATATGCATATCTATTATAGTGCCCACATCTCTGTCAAAAGCTTTATTGACGTGTGTATTTTGCGACAATGTTGCCATTAGTTAGTCAAGTGGATAAATACCAGCACGTTTTAACCCAGACTGGAGATTTTCAGATTTTAATGCTTGAAGATGTACCTTACAAGCAAGAAAACAAATGTTATATCTTGTGACAGATGAAGCTGTTTCATTAATTTGTGACATGCATTATTGTGCATGTGTTGAAATGGATCATAACAAGCTAAATCTAAAGGTTGATGTTTGTGACCTGTATGGACATGGATTATGGAAAATACAATATTGTTTTATAATAATTAGTGTCCTTTAATTTATGGCTGGATTTACGAACAATTTCCCTGTCGGTGAACATATTGAATTTGCATACAATTCTTCGACTTCTATTTTGCGCATCGTTTTGATCTCTTAATATAGCACCCATGTGGCTTAGGCATTATATTTGCCTTTCATTTATGATTAACAATAATTATTGTTCCATTAAGCGCCTTTTTAATTAGGTTAGCGATATTAAGGGCCATTATGTATAGGTTAGTGTTTAATAATATGTATTAACAAAAATAATTGGTCAAGCCTGCCTATTTAATGATCAACATTATTTTTTTCACAAAAACAAGGCCTTTCTCTAAATCACTGATAGCTCCGCCCTTTCGCTCTACAAGATGTCTACACCTTGTCAAGTTTCTAACATTTCACATTTAGATAAGCTAAATAAATGGCCCTTTCAACATATAATCAGGCACATTATTACTGAAATGTCACAGAATGTATACCTATATCTACAGTAATTACATGTAGAAAAAAACAATAGAGTTAATGAAATGTGTACATCCTTTTAAAATAAATGGAAAATGTGAGAAGAATACATTAGAAATTATATAGACTGCGGTTAGACGACAGATTAAGTAAATTTTATTTAGTTAGTATGCATTAACAAAAGTTAGACTTAGCAGAAATTTGAAAAATACTACAATGTGATTGGACAAAAAATAATGTTGATCATTAAGATCCTTTTGTCTATTATGAGATTCCTGTTATTCCGATTAATGGCGTAATCTAAAAAAAACAGTCAATTGCACATTACAAACTGTGACGTATTGTTGTTTTCAGTGAGACTAAAAACGTGCTGGAGGACCACACTAAATACCGTATACCGGACAGGACTGGAATGATTAAATGCTAAATAATATTGTAGGAACCGACAAAAAAATATATTTTTCTATTTCGTAATTATGATTTCTGAAAACGCCTAAAGGCACTGCTATAACACTGTAGTGAGTTAATTCCCAGTGTCTTTTACTTTTTTGGCAGCTGAAATGGAAGAAGATAAACTAAGAAGAGAAGCCTATGAACGCTTTCGTGAAGAACTTGATGAAAGTATTTCAAATATTGTTGGTATGGGTTTTGATCCTGATGAAGTGAAAATCGTTCTGGATAACACTCTGTATGATTCTGAATTAGCAATTAGAATTCTTCAAAAGGTAAGATAATTAAATTTTGGTCGCAGTTCTTCTTATCTTATAACATTTAAAAAATATTGTTGATCCTTATAAAAATACTTTATTCTTATTCATTATGAATGAATAATATGTTTAACTGTAAAAGCAGTGAAGTAAAAACTCATTGTTTGATATTATTACAGCGTGCCAGGGAGCGAGAGGAGAAAAATGCTAAAGTCACTGATAGCTGTTCTTCATCTGATGGCATTTCCATGCATGTCTCTGAGACGAATTCTGTCACTGAAAACTGTTCTGGTGGTGGTGTGCCTGAAAGACTTTCCTTGTCGGTAAATACGTCTCAGAATGGGAGTTCACATTCTGAAGAATTCCCCCTTGCTGTTCACAGGCCCCAAAATACTACAATCACACATAAATTATTGTACCAACGGAAAAAAGATGGGTAAATTGTTGTGAAGTAACCAAACAGAAACAAAATAACAGCAATAACAAATTTATTCAGCATCAAATACTTACATATTTATAGCTGACAATACCAAACAAGTGGTGGTAACCGTTATACAAATATATAGTATGGTTTCAAATTGCAGTATTGCCTACGTAGCGTACAGTATTTCGGACATACTTACAAAACAAGAAATTCGTTTTCTACAAGATTCATCTTACATTGCCTACATTTTCTGTCTTCCTTTAGTATATTTAGTCTGCCGACCTCTCTTTCTAAACTGTGAGATGAATTCTAAATTTTGTTAAATCAATTATATATTTATTAATGTTTCAAGTATTCTTCCAATTCAAGTTCGTGTCTCAATAATGTATGTTTCTAATTTGATAGAATTGTTTATTTTGGCATGCCGCCATTGCTTATATATATATAAGCTTTATAGCTTTCGGCTCTTATATATATCCTTTTTCATTCGTGTATCTACTTATTGTAAATAAATTAACAACGTGTTGTATCATTGTTTGAAATAAACTATGTTTAAACTTAACTAAGATCAACATATAAACCATCAAGATTAGTAGACTTTCTTACATTCAATATTTTTCGAAGAAATTTACAATTAATAACATATATATTTTTACCCTCACTATGGCCTAAAACTTCAGCGCCATAGTTTAGAGCTATAAAAGAATTTACACTTTTCAGAATTAGTCATTTCAAGTTCATTGAATAAATACTATAAATAAGTTATGCAGTGCAAACAGTGAATGTTGGGCCAGCTTCTTTTAAGTGCGCTGCCAGTGACCATATTTAAATAAATTGATTTCGAGGTTTTTAAATACTTAACCATATTATTAGACATAAAAGCATAAGTCGCGTATCTTTCAAGTACAAAGATCATTACTTTAGTTTTCTTAATGTTGACTTTGAAACTCCATGTTTGACAATAAGGGTGTAGGTCATTTAACATTGATTGAAGTGCTTCCGGTTTATGCGCAATAAAACAGCATCGTCTGCAAATAGCAAATAGCAAAATGAACAGTTAGTCTCATTCAATATAAAAATCCTTCTGTATCGTCATTTAAACAATGTACTAGATCATTTACAAAGAATAAAAAGAAAAAACTTTGACCTTATGTTTGAGTCGGAAAAAGTTGACGTGTTATGTTTGTATCTTATAACTGTTCATACTTCATAAAGCTTTAACAAATTTTGTACCAACGTTTTCATCAATAAGATTTTGAAAAATAAAAGGCCGGTTTAATGTATCGAAGTCGATAAAACAGCTTTATAACTTGTATTTGGAATGAAGTGTGCTCTGGAGTAAAATATACAATCAATTGTTGATTTTTCTTTTTGAAATCCACATTGATTGTTTACATTTTTATTTATTCTTTATTGAGCATATTTTAAGCCTATTAAATAGGATTTGAGAATGTTTTTTTCCTATTATGCTAACAAATGTGATTACTCTTTAATTTTTCGCACCTTCAGCATCATCACCTTTAAATATCGACACTATAATGCCTTCTCTCCAAGAATGCGAAAAACTTTCGGTTTCGAAATTTTATTGCATAAATGGTGAGATTATATTGTACGAATGTTTGAATATTTCTGCTATTAGGCATTTCCGCTACCCTTATTATTATTTTGACTATAAACAGCATTTTCTATTTCTGATAAAGTTATATTACGGTCTAAATCCTCATCTTAAATTAACATATCTTGATCGTTTGTAAATACGTCTTTGTTTACATCATATCAATTTTTAAAATGGTCAACTAATAAAGTAATATTAAGGTCTATAGCTGACACAGGTGCTTTAACGTATTGACTTTTTACTATTTTCCCGAATGGTTTTGGTTGAGTTAAACAGATATAGTTAAAGCTTTTAAACATTGTCTTTTTCTTTCATTTTTTTATTGTATTTGTGTACTAGTTTAATACGATTGTACTTAGTCCTAGAATTTAGATATGCGTCTTTTAACATGAAACTTGATTCATCTCCTAATATAGGTTTCAAACATTTTTAAGATCCGATCTTGCATTGTAGTGCGTTCTCTATTTAAACTTGGCAATTTTTTTTAAATCGCGCTTTTGTTTTCAACGTATATTTTGCGCTCATGTCCAAAAATCGCCTGAGCACAATTATTTAATGAATTAATGAATAATTTTAACGCTTCGTTAACATTATTGTTGAGATTATTTTAAATATCAGTAAGGTTGTCAAAAGTATCCTTCTCACGTATAAGTATTTGTTGAAAATCGTTTATTTTATTTTTTCATTCCAAAAAAGTTTCTGTTTCATGAATATTTATATTCGGTACATTTTTAAGACTCTTACTCATAATATTAAAAGAGAAATCACAATGATTTGAAAATTCGTTTCGATCTAGTATACAAAAATCACTGAGTACATGAAAATCATTAATATGTAATAGTAAATAGTCAACAACAGACCGCCCTTAAACGAATGATGTGGTAGTTCTCCAATGCCAAGGCTCATGAAGTAATCTTGAATTGTTAAAAAAGGTAGACAATTCAATCAAGCGCTTGCCGTTATGATCAACAACCTGGTCCTAGGAAACAAAAGGCGGAATGTTTACATAGTTTGACAAATCGTTATCATGGTCAATATACATGTATATGTCGAAATCTAGCCTATCAGATAAATTTGATGTAAGACTATTTAAATCTTCCGTAATAAGACATTTACTCTAAGATATATATCTTTCTAAACCATTTTCGGTTTCATCATAAAACTAAAAAACACCCTTGAATTATGCGGAGGTATTTATGTACAACATATATATCTTTTTTTCATTAAAATTGAAAAGATTCTTATCTATCTTAAGTTCTTAACCCATAAAATACCATTCTGTTTTGTTTCCCAACAATTTTGACATATTGCAATAAAAAAGAAATAGCTCTTGAATTGAATATTATAATCAAATAGATGTCTGCCCTTTTCAAAATTTACAAAAAGATTAACTTATAAGTCACACAAATGTTGATAATCCTCCGAACACTTAATTACTTTAAATGAGATCTGTCCCGGATAATATACAATCTATGATATATCTTTTTGATTCAACATTCGGAAACCAATCAAAATGCATGCTAGAGAGTGTGCACTTTTGCACTATTGTTTATTATTTTGTTTGGGTCGTCAGACCAAACAAATAATGGTAGCGAAATTTCAGACCCTGGTGTTCTTATTTGCAAATACCGAAAGTAGTCCAAACTCATCGAAGCGGTTACTTCCCTTCATATGTACATTAACGATGAAAAATAAAGGGGAGATCTCACGTAAAAATTGTCAAATGACAGGCGCATTAATTTGCGTAACGAAAAAATAGAACCCGATTGGTCGAAGATTTCTAATATTGTGTTATTCTTATAGATATACATGCTTATATTCAGCTCCATGATTATTTACTTCAGTGTTAAACAACAGGTTTACCGTGAACAAAATATATGGAAATTAATAAGGGTTACAAACTCTAACTAAGAATAATATGGTATTCTTCAGGATGTTATCTTATAACTCCCCGTGGTCGAGGGGTTACACGCTCGCTTTGGAAGCGACAGGTCTGGAGTTCAAATCCCAGTTCAGGCAACTCATTATTTTTTTAAGCCAATAAACATTGTTTGTTTGTTTGTTTCATTTTTAGCCTTTTCCCAACAGTATTTCAGTCATATAGGTGGGTAGTTTCCTAACCATCATTCCTGGAGAGTTACACCAGTACTAGACTACCTTGCTCCGCGCTAAACTACCAAAGCATCTCCCGGGGACCGAACCACGCAAGAGAGGTAACTGGATTAGAAGTCATCGACTCTAACCCCTCGACCACGGAGGCGGTTAAATGAACATTGACTTGAATATCACTGCAGTGTTGCAATTAGTCTTATAGCCAATTAACTATAGTTATAACACTGGAAACAGCATTGATGACACTATACAAACCAATTGGTTTATAATGTCACAACCTTCACCTTTCTGACATTATGAGACCCAAACAAATTAAGCGCCTTCTGTGCTTTGATTAACTTATGCAAGGGTTTATGTTATGTTTATTCTGTAAAGCTTTAACAAAGCTCTCATATTTATTGCTTCGTTGGTTGATTTAAACTTCTGGTTTCTCTCATATAAACTCCCCATTTGTTAGACTAGATTGGTTACAGCTGGTGCCATAATAAAAATACTGTGTGTCCTGTTACTTAAAATGATGCTATAAATTTTCATCAACATTTTTTAAATCTTCATCACTTTGTTAGAATATTTATGTCAATATTACCTATTAGTTAAATATACGAGGGTTGTTCAAAAAGTAATAGGACTGCAGCTCTACTGCTCACATTTTTTAATTTACGTACACAATTTTACAAGTGACAATTATCGCAACATGTTCTCTATATACAGTGAAAAAATCAATGCAAAATGTTTACAAATAAGATTTCTTTTAAATTTTCAAATGACAAGGGGTAAGAAACCCGGCGCACGCTAACAATACAATTAATGGCGTTCTTGACGTCGTAAAATAAAAACAAAATGTAACCAGCGTCATTCTTTCCGAAAGTATTGTCGCTAGTGCTTTAGGTGTCTAAATCATGTTACTGTGACCAGGCTTCATATGTGGAGACGATGAAGGAAGAACGCGATCACAATTTCGTTCCGCTCTCAAAAACAAATAATATAAGAACATGGCTGATAGCCAGCCATTCTCTGCTTTTTCATTTATTTTGAGTAATCTTGAAACTCAACAAGCATGGACTTAAATGTTAATGCAAAGGCGATTCATCTTATTCATTTACACATGTTATCGTACGTTGTAAAACAATATGATTTTACACAGTTAAATAACAATATGTATTTATTGAAAAGTATCTTTTTACTTAGCACAGTGTATCAGGTATTGAAACAAAATTGGCGGAAATACTAATAATTATTACCGTTAATCATTATTATATTAATATATTGAAAACACGTATTTCTATTTAAATTCGATAAAATAGTGTTTAAAACAAATGTCTCATATTCAATCCTTTGGTCAGAACTAAATAAGTAGACTCGTAGCAGACATAAAAAATGCCTCATAGTTCGCAACTCGTTCACCGTCGATCCTTTTGTAGCGCTTTTGCAATTGACGTCACTAACGTCCCGTCAATTTTCCGCTTTCATCCTCGCCCTTTCCTGTTTGTGATCTTGTATTCGCCGTTTTTGAATTGCTTGCTCCAGCTGAAAACTAGTGTTCTAATGGCAGGATGATTGTCCTTTGTTAATTAAATCATTATGTATATATCTGAATGAGAATAGATAATCTGTTGACAATATCTAACGATCGCACGAATTTACAGTTTTTTAACAAATGTCATATTTTTACATTTAACTTGATGACCAATGCTGTTTAAAACAAAATAACTAAGCCATTTTATATCCGAATGACGTCAAATTTGAACATAATGTCACATAATTATAACTTAATGGGTTGATGGAATATATAGACAAACAGAGAATAAATTATAAATAAATTCGAAGTACAACGTAGCTTCAATAACTATTTTGATGTGTTGCGCCGGATGCGTGTTACCATGGTTATTCAATATAACAGAAAACACGCGTTTAGCAAAAGAATATTATAACCTTATGCTTAAATTGTAGAGAACATTTTACGATCGCTGTACATATGAAAATATTCTTAATTGAATGAAATATGAATATGCAAGACTCTTAATCCTATAACTTTTTGAACAACCCTCGTATACTATGCTCAAATTTTATATTTGAAAATATTGATAACTGCTACATAGTCTCTTTGTAAATATTAAATTAAAAACATGTTTTGACTTCACACAAAGTTAATTTTTACGTTAAAATACTACACACTATAGGTGGTTATAATATGAAAAAAATAGTGTCATTAAAAAACTGACTGAATCTTTGAAGAAATACCGGCTTTATTTGTCCTGTTATACAGGATGCAACTCTCATACATAGTTTATTCATTCTTTTATACAAATTATATACAAATGTATATTCAGTAGGAGTTTCGTAGATTTCAATTAATTTCTGTGATTGAAATATTTTACTCAAGAATGAGTTTAGTGTATCTTTAAAAAGTGTCATCTTAGGTGAAAAACTAGGTAAAAAAATAAATATAAAAATGAATTAACACCTGAAAATCTTATTAACAATCTCTGTAAAAATTCAACAAACTCTAGTCTAGAATAATATCTCGGATAAGTTAGAAAACCAAGAGAAGAGCAACATTGTTAAGGCTGTAGAATTCACACTTTCGATCTGAGCTTCATAGAGATTCTTCAATAATATCTCGAGTTTGCAGATGAGTCAAAATTTAGGTCATCAGATTAAATGGAACTATTCAACATTGTCGACACTAGGTGTCACAATTCTAATTTTAATTCTCGAATGTGTATCTTTATAATATTTTAGATTAAAAGAAAAATACTTCATGTATGATATATAATTTCATACCTATGTCTTTGTAATTTGCCGAAACTTAGGAACAATGTCCCACAACATTTTTGGGGTGCCTTCCCCTCGTGTACCTATTCGTGACAACATAAAGCTGATCGTCTTCCATACGATTTGCCACAATGCCATATAATGGACATATTTTCTTGTAAAAAAGCACCAAGTATGCATTTAACATTTAAGTTATAAAACAGATAAAGTGAGCGAAAAAAAGTTAGTGTGTTTTAAAATTTATAAGAAATATTTGCAATATGTTGTTTTGAAGTGTTCTCTTTTTGCCTACTGTAGATAATTGTATTACATTTAGTGGTTCCATACATAAATTCCATGGTGAGTAGATTGTAAACAACTATGCAATCCTGTTTAATCAAATAGTTTAATCTTTTATAAATAAGTGAACAATACGTACTAAACATTTTATGTTTAACATTTATTCAGATCTATTATTTAATGTTACAAACATAATTATATTTGCTATTTTTTTAAAAATAACATTACAGTTAGTCCTAAAAATCATTCTAACATTATCCAACTTGTACCAATATTTCGACCCAATATCAATACATGTATACTTTCGTTTCCTTCAATAAACGATCTTTAAATATAACTACTTTATCAGGTATAAATAGAGCTCAAAACTGCTGACAGTCAAATTAAAATAGATTATATATATTAAGTGTAGTACTTATCAACATAAAAAGTTGTTGTAAATTTCAATACGAAAAAAATAAATATTTTAATGTTTTGTAAGGTTAAACATGTCGTTTATATACTGCCATATAATCAATCAAGAATCTTTATACTGCCCATCAAACATGTACTTTTAGTCGACATAGATATGACATGGCATAGAGATTTCATTTTTTTATTTTTATTTTAACACGTTCTGATACCGTATTCATCCCCCCACAAAGCCGCTTACTCTATAAATGAAACATCAGTTTCCGGTTTACATCACATGAACTATATTAATAGACTTATGAGATTTACTTACATATCTACGAATGTAGTAATCTGAAGAGATAAAGATGAAGTAAGTTGGCGGATTTTATATACATTATCTGTGTGCTTTATTGTTTATTTTACTCATGAACAAGCATCGTTATCTTTTCACTATGACCTCAATTTCATTTGTTTGTGCAGGCGTGTAGCATGAATTTTAATTATTATGGTGTTTACCATTAGCCATGGAAAGAACAAATAAAAAGTAATTTTGCTACAAAAAATCTAAGAGGTTATCTTTTAGAA